AAATGAGATGTCAACTTAAGTCACAACTGAACATTTCTTGTCACAATAATAATGCAAAATAACAAGGTAATACTGATTAATCTTGGTGAGTTAATTGCTAATCAAGGATTAAAATGTAAGAATCTTTGGTTAAATGGATGATCAAAAGGTTGCTTTCATTTGGTTAAAGGTAAAAGCTCATTTTTATCGTTGTTTGGACTTGAAATTTGTTGTGGTCATAATAAACCGATGAACATAGTTAATGTATTTTTACTCACTTTTTACATTCAACTCAACCCTTCACATAATTACATTAAAAGTAATGATGATTGGGTTGACTCTTGAGTAACTGACTAGGAAAGTTAATCTACCTTTGACCATTTTTAACGGTTATTTTGGGTGAAAATTTTTCCAAGATTGTCCAGTTTCTCAATTTTTTTACCTTCGCTAATCATTATCCTTGTTTGAGTGTATCATTAACTCTCGGGTTAATGAAAAAAATGTAAAGTATAACAAGAAAAGTAAATGAATTGAATCAGTGAAAAGGTAAGGAAGAGAAAGATGAGATGAAAAAAGAGATTGAAGATAAATTGAAGCTACTTTTATGAGAATTGGTGAAATGTTGAAAGATTGAAATAGCCTATTGTGATGATCATCATTATCATCATTAACATCATCATTCAGTCATCTGATGGTTTAATTTTGTACACACAAGGAAATGACCTTAAAGATGAAGAAAAATTATGAAGACAAAAAAAGGTAATCATCAGATGATATTATTAAATGTTTGTTGTTTTGCTTGTTCAATTATTGTTAGGCCTGATGATGACGATCATGATTGTGAGAGAAGAATGAGTCAAATTTGAGTTTATTCAATGTCAATCATTTGGAATGATAGAGTTATGATATTTCCTGATGAAAAAAAGGTAAATCTTTTGATTGGTAAAATAAGAAAGTTTCATAATTCACTGAATCGTTTCAAAACTTATTAACATGTTAAAGATATCAATTGAACAATTGAAATAAAGATTCAATTTCGTTCTCATCAATGAAATGGTAAACCATGAAATGAGTCAAGTAATTCAATATTTTACAGCCATTATCAACTATCATTCACTTGATAACTGTAACTGTTTTTCACTTGATTAACTCCTGATTGATACAAATTATTATTCAACAATTAGCAGCAATTGATCAGACAATTGATGCTCTTTACATGTTTGATTACAATTGGATGTAAAATGGAAACAATTTGAAGCTCTTTGGTTTACTTGTTAAACTCAACTTGTGAGGTATTGAAAACGATGAAAGTTTAGTTAATTTATGGTCCAAACTCAAATAGTTTAAATGTAAATGTGATTTTAAAGTATGATTTTGGTGATAAACTGTGAATGGTGATTAACAGATGCGACCAAAGGTTAATCAGAATATCCATTGGATTATCAGATGAATTTGCAGTTAAATGTGTTTACTGAGGCAACTTTTTTCTTCCTAACATTTGATTGATTTGATTTGATTTCAAAGAATTCAGGGAAAATTGAAAATCAAAGTGACAAGATGAAGATTAATTTGTGGCGTAAAATTGATATCAAAATGAGATCAAAACGAAATGAAATTGGATCAAATTCAACTCAAATTAATATGATAATAAAGACACTAAATGGTCAAATAAAATTGATAAACTATCAAGTAAATTAGACAAATTATCTAAATAGCAATTGATTAGATCGATGAACTTCAAAACGAGGGGAAAATGTTCAACTCTTGAAATGAAAAAAAGCCATAATTTGATGGAAAGTCATTTCAATAATCAAGTGGAATGTTGGGTGAAAAAAAGAAACAAGAAACAGTCTTCACTTTCATCATCTTCATCTATTGACATGATAGTTTACAAGATGGTTAATAGCATCAAGGAGGGTGATAAGGATAGGTTAGTTCATTTGATACTTTCCATGGACATGATAACAGGTACAATTGTGCCAGGCAAGGAGTGGGCCTTTGTATGGCCTTTGTGCAACAACTGGTAAACAGGTAGAAGTGAAGATGGCGAAGATGAAAGGCAAGAAAAAAAGATTAATGGTTTACAGGAATCAAATGAGTTTCAAGATGAAAAAATGATTCAAGATTAAAGTAGGCAAGTCTAGTATTAAAGATGGAAACAAACAAAAAATGTAAAAATGTTGATAAACAGGTGGATAAACAAAGGGATAATGAGCCTGAAGAGTAAATCTTTTTGAATCACAAATTGCTGTTAATCAGAGTAAATTTGACTTCAATAGACTTCCATGGAAATGAAACAATAATTGGTTCCGTTTTCATGTTAAAGGTTTGCTTTAGTTTTCATTTTTCAACTATTTTGAGGGAAAATTCAACTTGAACAATTTTGGCCTTTTTTCGTGCTTTTTCAATCTTGTTGATCAGTTTAAATCAACTTTATCAAAACTAGATTTGCTTTTGATTCACTTTCATTTACCGGCAACAAGACATGTTCAGTTATGGATTAACTTTTAACACCATAATCTTAATCTTGAAAGGTAAATAGTCACGAAATGTTCATGTCCATTAATTGACTGATTTAATATCAACATTTAGGAATTAGATTTAATGTATTTTCAGTTGAGAGGGATAACTGATGGTGATGATACTCACGTCTAACAATTGTAAATGAAACCGATTGTATTTGCCTTAATTTTTAAGGTAATCATCATTACTATCATTATAATTGTCAATGTTGATGATGTTTACAAAAATTGTTAAACTCTTAATCGTATTTTTAACAAAATATTTTTACTCATTTATAATGTACAGTAAACCCTCTCAAATTGTCACCCTCTCTAATTGTCCCAGAGTCATGGTAACCGAGTAAACAATTGCTTTTAATTCAGTTTTTTTAATTAGGAAAATTTTGAGAGGACTCTTAATTACTATTTAATACTGTTCAATACAGGAATTATCAAATTAGAAATCAAAAACACCTAAATTGAATTAATAATTAAATTTTAAAATTTAATCAAATTCGTAAAAGGGCTATTTTGCCTAATTATTATAGGAAAATAGCCAAGATGCTAATCCCACGACGTGACAATTTGAGAGGGTTTACTGTAATTTGCTATTCAAATGGTTTTTTCAAATCTAAATATCAGACAAATCCATTTCTAGAGTAAGTTGGTTATGAAGAGAAATTGGTTTTTCATTTGAAACTCAATTGTAAATGAATTTTGTGAAATGATTGAAAGTAAAATCATTGACCAATGGTAATCAAAATGCGGAATTCAATGAATCTCAAAAGCTCATTATCATGAATACTTGAGCAACAACTAGCTTCAAGAGTTACTTAAATGTAAAACATATTTATAAATGTATGGATGAATTCAGGTGTTGTGAGGATAATTATCAAAAACAGGTAAAAGTTGTAACTAGAATAATTTAAATTGTAATAACATTAAAAGTTGTTTACAAAGGTCAAGCTATTTATGAACATTAAATTTTGTCATTAAGCATGAGAAGATTCAGATGAAGATTTAAAGACTAATGAGTAAATCAATAGTGAATTGTTCAATGGAGCTATCATTATTGGAATAAGGTTTAGATGGAAATTTAAGTTTGATATTTGATTGTAATGATTTGCTCTAACGTTTCATTTGATTGAAAGTATTTCTTGTCAGTTCTTGATGTGATTCATCAAATTGTGATTATAACTCTAGGCTATAGTCAAGTTAATGGCAATTGATTTTGTCTTAAAAGGTAAAAACACAATTTAATTTAAAACCTATTTCCGTCATTATTTGGTTAACTTTTCATTTTTTGTTTTTCCTCAAATTAATTACTCAATCAAATAAAGTGTTTAATATGATTAAGTTTGTAGGAAGGGTTAATTGAACATTTGAAAGGCCATTGACTGTAATTACAGAATAATTATTAACAGTTGTTTCATAATGAAAGCTTTGAGTATATTTTTGGCTTCAAAATTTATGCATAAAGGATGAATTTTGAGGTAAAATTTGGGTTGATTTTGATGGATTAATGAATAATTTGGTATAAAATCAACACACAGTTTGTCACTTTCAATGAAACAGTTAGGGACTTTCAGTTAATTGGTTAGCTAATTTAGTTGCTTGCTTTTTTTGCTTTCATTCAAGAAATATATCTTTTCATGTTTCTCACATTTTCATTGATGTTGATGAAGATGAAAAAGATGATGATATGCTTTCAAGCTGATCGGCTGTAAACACCTATGAAAAACACGGGTCCAACTGTGAAGATGAAATTGTAATTTGAGCAGCAACTTAATTAAATTTACACACAATTAGTTTGGAGACGGAAGATACAAGGTTAACCAAGGGAAAAGACCAAAAGAGTTAAAAATGGCGAGTTTCATCTACAATGGACACTAACAATGATAATGATAATAATAGTAATAAGTTGACAGTAACTATGAGTATTTGAATTTTTTTTGCCTCTTCAAAGTAACATCTTATTTTGCTGTTGTTGATGGACAGAGAATGTTACCAAATTGATAACGGGATTTGAATTGTTGTTGCTGTTGTTGGATCATTTAATTTATGTGAGAATAGTGATTAGAGAATATTAAGGAATATTTTCTGGGGAAAATTCCCAGAACATTTCTTCCTAACTCTCACAGAATTTTTCTTTTGACTCAGTATAATTTTTAAAAGCTTGGTTAGTCATTAACACTGACTATTTAAGTGGACAGATTCTGGTATGACCAGAAACGGTGAAACTGAATGATAAAGATGGGAAGATAATTAGTTTACCGTAAAAACTATGGATTAGTTTGACCTTTTGTTTTTTTTCTGCGCTCTTCATCATGTTCGACGTAATTTAACATAACATTAAAAAATATGCTCAATGGGAATCAATTAATTTGAATGTTAATCAAAGGGGTATTAACCTTGATTATGTCGGACCTTGTCATCTTTTGGATGAAGAAAGTTAAATTTCACTTTCAAATGAGATTTACGTTTGAGTTGATGTTAAACTTGTTCAAGTAAATATCCTACCTTGGCAGGTCAGTCATACTCTCCCAATGGTCTCTTAATTTTTTCACTATTTCGATCCAAAGGTATGCTATCGTGTTTAAATCTTTAAATTGGTGAAATATGATTGATAGGCGCCAAGTTAAATTGTTGTATGGACACGATTTGAATCCTCGATAATCCTTTAAGGAAAAAAATAGAAAAATGAAAATGTATTAGGCCTGGAATATTTGTGTAATGTTGTCATATTTACTTTGAGTAAGCTATTTATTGGTTCATTAGCTTGAGATGGTTCAGTGAAAATGTAGTCAACAATTTGACATTTAAGATGTTCAGATAAACTCCAGGTTGAAAAATTTCGGAATTGCGGTAATGTTAAGGTTGGAGGTCCGACACCGGCAAGTTTATCAAGGGCTGCTTTAGCTTCAATCTCTGAATTAAAAAGATGAAATTAGAAACTCGTTTGTCTATAGTGTTGTTGAAAATTCTGTATTGTCTTTCAATTAGCTAAATCACTCTAGTGATACTAATGGAATAATTTAGCTGGTAGATAAATATTAGTATCAATCACAACCTACCAAATTAAGCAAATTAACCCTTATGTTTGTAGTGTTTCTTGTTCAACGGTAATTGATACTTATTTCAATTGCCACTTGACTGAGCATACATATGTACTTTATACATACATTTATATTCGCGTGCTATTGATCCAAGAAATTAATCAGTTTTACTTGGATAATATTCTGAGAATATAATTGTAGGCTGATAAAAGTGCATATTTCCTGCTAAATATATGGTGTTTCGTTTTTACCTTTCTCTTCCTGAAGTCCTGTAAATTTACCCAATGGTTGATCTGCATATTTGGTTGATTTTTCCAGAATAAACAAGCTACTTATGGAATGTATCAAGTTAGGAGTAAATCTGTCTCGGAATAAAACACGCGCTGACCAATATTGTGCATCCATTGAATTTAAATTGCTGTGATTTGGCGAGTCATTGATGAACTCTTCAGATAATTTAGGCCAAGTGGTTGAAAGGTGTAATTCCCTGCGAAAAATAAAGAATGCATTTAGTATAGTGTTCATCTTATTTCAATTAAGTCATCTTACTCGATAGGAGCTGAAGGAGATGAATATTCTATGAGAGGCATCGGAAGTTTATCAAGAGAGTACAATCTTTCCTCCAAGTCGGTTGATTCTTCGGTTGCTTCTGGCTCAGGTAATAACCATTCTTGAGGCCATTCTCTGATTATATGAGTGAATCGAACTGATAGTTCAATTGAAACCTTTTCCCTCAGTGGAGATGCCTAATCAAGCAAAAAAAATGAATGTTGCATAAGGATAACAAAAGAGTAACATATGACAAACACACGCATTGATTTTGTAGAAACAAAGGAAACAAAAATGACATATGAGAACAAATAAATTCATATCTAATCTAATCTTATAATCTGATGATAAGGATTGGAAATTTAAAGTGAACAAGCTTAATAAAAAATATTGAAGAGGTTTCTACAAAATCTGAATCAGAAAACTGTAGACTCACAATTTTTTCACGGAAAATTTTGGTCAACTCTGAAAGATACCGATAATTTTCCGGAATATCTCTAAAATGAATCATGTCAAACATTATTCGTGATGTTGATCCTTCCAATATGCCATGAAAGAATTTCCTCTGGGGATGATGAATCTGAACAAAGACAGGAATATACCTAGAGAAACAGAAAAAATAGGATTAACCCAATGAATAAATGTCTCTGGTGTTTCTTACTCACACATTGATATTTCTCATTGCAATTGCAGCCGAGCTAAGAAGCAATTTAGCTCGATCTTCACTCGTTATAAGATTATCTTCCATAGGAGAGATGACGGCAAATTTTTTAACACCAAACCATCTATAAATACAATGGGCCTTGTTTGGGAAATTGTAGCGAAAATCCATTAAATCTTGGAATACTTTTATATTCTCATCAGTATCCTCCAGATCACTTTCAGTATCCCTTCCAGTATACAGTCTTTCCTTTTTGTTGTCGACATCTGGCCCTTGGTAACAGTAAACGCTAACTATAAGCACGAACTTGGCAAATTTAAGTTTAACAGTTTCATTATAATACAAATGATCTCCAATCGGTCCTAGACCATAGATTACTCCTTTCGGTTTGGAAGCATCTTGGGCATCAGGCGGCTGAATTGTGTCCCAGTTACGAAGAACCTCTTCGAAATCAGCAATAAAACGTTCCCAATCGGTGGCAGTGGTAAAGTCTGTAATCTCGAAAACTTGATCACTATCATCAGGTGATTGATAATCTGAGCTTCTTGAATCCTCCATAGCTCAAAATAGTCTCTCTTGTATCAATGAAAAGTCACAATGTCAAATGTCAAATTAACACCAATGACGATAGTAAAAAAGACTTGAAAAAGCAAGCCCAATAGGAAAAAGTTTGTAAAAAAAATTCACGACCAATGTAAACAAACCAAAAAAGGGAGAGTCTATTAATTACAAACTGTATTTGATTTAACAAATTTTCATTAAATTAAACGATTTAAATTGCCAATTTTACGTGCAGCTTGCCAAAATTGCAAGAATAGTGTAAATTGTCATGAATTGTGATTGTACTTATCATTTATCTAATTTTTCTTCTCTTGTTCTTATGCTAAATTTAGTTTATTTTAAATATCGGTCCAAAGTCATTCTCTCAATTGAGAATTGAATATTCATCCAATTAATATCTTGGTGTTTAATGTGTCTAACCATGAAGTCAATCAAGCCATTAAGTCATTAAGTCATACAGGAATTCAGGATGTACTGAGAAATCTGTTTTTCATTTATTGCTAATCTTAAATCTTAAACCAGGTCTAGAGATATTTTTTGTTGAATTTGTTTAATCCAATCGGTTTCTATAAAGTTAGGGTCTGTCTTATATTTTATATTGTAGGGATTAATTGATTAAAAGATAAGTAATCAACGTTTAATAAGCAAATCTAGTGTAAACATTTTGCTCTTATATTCAGTGCTAAATGTTTGTCCAGGGAAAAATTGTTTTATGGACTCTTTTTTGCTGTATTAATCTATGTTAGTTAATAGTAGGTCTACCTAAACAATCTCTTTAATTAGCAATTATTATATGGTGATAATGGAATATCAATTCAACATAATTTTATTTCCATGATAAATTAGCTTATTACAAATAAATTTGATCACCAAGCTTGAGTGTAATTTATGTTTATTAACCGTGATAATTTGCGTTCAAGTGTTCATGTAAACATGTGGTTGTACTGAGATTCTATGAAATGTCTCTAGTACTTGGATACTTTTACGGATCTTAAGCTCTGGTTTTAATTGTATCTCCATGTCACAAACAATACATTGACGCGTTTTTCACCGTAAAGTTATCAGCTTTTCAAAACGGTTCAGCCTTTAAGGTAAGATAAATTTTGATCGGATTTTCTCATCCATAGTTTGAAGGATTATTTTCCTTCCTAATTCCTATGAATCCGTTTATTAATCTACTTTATTATCACATGAATTTTCCCGAGAAAAGGTAGGAGTCCAATGTTTTTGCTGGCTTTTACCGTCCGTTATCAATTAATCCAAAAACAATTAGGTGGAAAATCTTGGGTGGCAAAGTTAGGTGAAATTGGATAAAATGTTTTAATAGTCTATTTGCACCGAAATAGTTAACTTTCGTGATTTACAATCAAGGGATCAGGGTGAGGTAGTTTTTTGTAATGAATATGAAAGTGATGAGAAAATAGAGAGAAATGGGTTGACATCAATCAATTTTTGGGTAGCATTTCAACGAGTTGAAATGGACGAAATAATACAATCACAATGAGGTTCAAACAACAAACTTGATCATAGAATTGAATAAGAACAATTAATAAAACAATACAATTCTATGGATGATGAAAATATTTGCATTTTGATGAATTTTTTAAACAATAACAATTCAACATAAAGTTGTAAATATTGCACAAAGATGGCGGCTCATGTAGCATGAAAAAGCGAGGGAAAATAATGCCAATTTTAACCAATGTTATTCAATTCAGCATAATACTTCTGTAAATAATTAATTTTAAGTTAATCTTCCAATCTGATTGAATTTCCCATTTCGGCATATGATAAGTGATTAATACAGCTTAAAAATATGATAAGTTAGTGACTAATTTTGATAGTGTCTCAGGAATTGACACTATGGACTCTAATTTAATCTCGTGCAGCATTGTTAACCCATCCATTGCGAGTGATCTTAAATCAGGTAATTTTGATAATATTGATGAAAAATAATGCGATTTCTTTTGAGCTTCAGCATTGTAAGTAACGTGATCTCTAAGAGACTCTATTATTTTCATTTGCAGGGCTTCAACACGATTTGGATCAACAAGACCATGCCGCACTGTTGATAGACCAGCAACATAGGATGGATAAAGAGAGGCAAAAAAGGAAGGAAAAAAGAAAGAAGAGGAAAAATTATGATTATTATTGATGATTGATGATACAGAATTTATTAATATTGGATTAGAATCAAAAAATGGCTACATAATTTAATAGTTAGCTATCATGATCTGTTCTGGTTATTGTTGCAGATATAATCACAATAATCATCATCGATATCAACACTTCTACTCAATATGGATACTGAACAATGTGATGAAAAAAAATCCGGATGATGATTATTTGATGACGATAAAGATTATTTTAATTGGTCAATTCGTGATGAGAATTAAATACATTTTACATTGAACATGTAAGTTAATTTATTGATTTGTAACGTTAAAACATTGCAATTTCAGCGATTTAACATATATTTTTTTTTCTTCTGAATTTCTTTTTTTGTTTTATCATGTTAACGTTGAACAGACATCACTACTATCTCCTGAATGGCCTAAATCTATTACTCTGAGTTAACTTTTTTTATATTAGAATTACTATGATCATTATGATCATTATGATTATTGTGATTATGATAATTATAATGTATCATTACATTATTAGTATAATTATTAATGAGTAATCTTTGTTAGCTAGGAAATGTACAAAATGAAAGATAATAAAATTGTAAAGAATGTACTGGTGAAAAATGGGTGCTGCTGCTTACCGGTGATTAATGAGAGGCCTGCGAGACAAGCAAATGCTGATATGTCTATATCAATTTGAGCGAATCTTTGTGAAAATGATTCCAGATTAGTAAACCAAGAACCAAATAGTAATTTAACTTGATTACGATGAAGAACCATTCCATTAGGTAGTATGATCTTCTTCGATCCAGGTTTGTTTCTATTTGAAGTAAACGTAATAATTAGTAAATTATGTGCTAATTAAATCATAAATCCACTAATAACCGCAATTAACTTACTGGTAGGCAATGCGTAGAGCAATTATCTCCAAACAAGATGAATCGAAGAGTAAATCTTGGTCATGTTTATTGAGATCAGCAAATCCTGGTATTTTTTCAGCAAAATTTCGACAAGCTTCCACCGCTGAAGAAAGCAGATTCACAGATTGTTGGCGACAAGCTAAGCTAGCTCCTAGTGTTAAACTTGATTCATCAAGTTCACAATACTGTAAGATTGACAAAAGGAGAAAAATTTGGTAAAAATTGAACTTATTGTATGAAAAATTTCAGAAGACTGTAAACTTACATGACTGAGATCAAGATTTGAAATATCCGGACATGTATCAACATGAGCCCTTACTAATGCAGTAATTGTACTAATTGGTGGCGATGGAGGTGATTCTTGAGGTGATTTAGGTTTTGATGGTAATCGACCACGACGACCTTTAAGATTGTCCGTCCTTACCACTATTTTAAATAAAAATTGAAAACATTTGTAAACATAAGTAAGAAAATATTCTTCTCTATATTTCATGACAAGCTCATTCTAGTGTCAAATAATTTATATTTACCTTCTTTTACCATTCCAACAGCTAAGCATTTTTGAAATCGACAAAACTGGCATCTATTTCGTCTTCTTTTATCAACTGGACAATCACGATTACCAAGACAAACATATTTTGAACCCTTTTGAACTGTTCTCTTAAAGAAACCTTTACAACCTTCACAAGTTCGGACTCCATAATGTTGACATGCAGCATTATCACCACAAACAGCACACAATTGATTCAAGGGATGACCTGTTGAGCTTGTGTTTAAAGTGGCAGCCGATGAGCAACCTGTATTTGACTCGTTTGATGTTGACGCTTTTTGGCTTTTATTGCGGCAAATTATTGGTTCATTTGGAGAGGTTTCGCCTGAACTTGTTCTCAATAAAGATCCATTGATATTTGCTGATGCAAATAATGATGATATAGACGACCTCAGAAGATCTTCTTGGTTTCTAGAAATCAAAATGATAAAAGATACATTTAATCAGATGTTTTGCATACAAGTTATCTCAAAGAACATCAAGGTCATACGGAATATCATTTTTGTCTTGAAAATATTTTTCCTGATACTGGATTTCATTAATTACTAAAGAACTACTCAAGGATTTTCAGTGCATTGACTTGATTTGACTTGACCTGTTGAAGCTTGGTGACTTTTTTTCTCCCATGGACATTTAAAATTTCATATTTATTTTGGTAAATTTTTCATTCAGAGGCAGTGAATATTATTGGTCGTTTCAATTATGAATGATGATGGGAGAAAGAAAAAGAAATTAACTGAAACCTTGATCAGACCGGTTACTTATTGTCGTCAATGTGAGGCGGTTTGACGTTGCTCAAGCAAACTTGGACAGTCCATTTTGTTTATCAAAATCACATTGACGCTGTCTAAAGATGAATTTCCATTAACAAAGGAAAATCAAGAACAATTAAGTTTAACTTAAGAAATCAAGCAACTAATCACGTACTGGATTTATTTATAATATTTACGAGCAACTTTTCCGGCTTATTGTTTCGTTTCTTTGCTGCTGGGTTTAACCAATTGAATTGGCATTTTGATTATAAAACAAAGACTTTTTTCTTACCTAATTGGATTCAAAGATGCCAAATGATTAGACGTATTTATATTTGATGCCAGTGGTGATTCTACCTTTTGATATGGAGATCTTGAAATTGGGGATAATTGTGATGGTGATTGTCGCTGATATCGATCAGAGCTTGGACTAGCACAACATTGATCAATGTTGTGTTTATATGAAAAGTTGATCGAAGATGGTGAGTTAGTTGCTGATGTGCAAATACTTCGAAATTGATTTGATTGCAACTGGTTTTGTGTAAGATGGTTGGTAAGAGACTGTTGAAACTGAGATTGACCATGTTCAAGATTAGGTGTAGATCGAGCTGAAGACATTGATATGTATCCTGGGCTTGAAGCAACACTCGAACTTGCTGTAAATGGAGAGTTGACATCTTGTTGATTAACAGATCTTGTATATTGATGTAGAGGATTTTGTCGGAAACTATGCAATTGTTGTTGTTGTTGTGATTGCTGGGATTGTTGCTGTTGTCTTAATTGTTGATGATGTTGTTGTTGAAGTTGTGGGTTAGTTGCTGTTTGAATTGATAATGGCATTGCACAGTTATTTAAATCACCATCACAATCATCTTCTTGTTTAACATATGATAAATCAATCAATGATCCTGATCCTGTGTTGGAATTTTTGATTGAAACAGAAGCAAATGAAACTTCAGATAATGATGTATTATCATCATCATTGAAGTCATCAAATTTAAAGAATGAAGATGTTTCATCGTTAGTTGTTGGTGTAATGTTAAGTCCAGAATGTGATTGTGATTGTTGTTGTGGTGGTTGAGGAGGAAAATTTCTTGGTGAATAAATTTCCATGAAGCTTGGTAAAGTTGTTGAATTAGGTGTAGTTGGTGTTGAACTTAAAGATGTCTCGTTTGATCCAATCAATGATCTGTTATAATATTAAGATGATAAAATGTATGAATAAATAAATTAAATAAATGAATAAACAAATAGACTAATTAAAGTATTATTTACAGTCTACAATTAAAACAAAAAGAAACATTGTTTTCATTTGTCTAACCTAAATTTATATTGGAACAATCATTTGGAAACTTACCCTTGATTATTGCCTAAGATGTTATTAATAGTATTATCATTATTAAGTATAATACTTGAATTATTGTTTTGATTGTTATTGTTGCTGTTATTACTGTTGTTGTTGTTGATGTTGGTGATATTGATATTAGAAGAGTTATTCTCGTTAATATTATCGGTGAAAGTTGATCTTTGAAAATTCAACTGAACTGGTGTATTGGAACCACTATTTGAGTAACCAGATTGTCCTTGATCAAGCCCGAGTGAATCGAAATTTGATTGTTGATTAAACATTTGATCCAAAATACCATCTAAAGGTACATCAAATGAAAAATCAGCTGAAATATCTGAAAGATCCTCTTCACACGTTGTTGAATTTGATTGAACTGAATTAAGTGAAGGTAAAGGATCAAAAATATTAGTTGAAGATATTGGTGAATGAGAAATTGGTCCTTTGAATGAACAGCTCTAAACAACAATTAAGTGTAAAAGGAGACACAAATTAATAACAAATAAACGAATGTTTAAAAAAATATAAATCAAGTTCGATGTTTATGTCAAATGCGATGTTATTAATATGACATAAGACATGACATGACACAAGAACGAAATTATATTTACCTGATTTTGTTGAATACAAAGCATATTTCTACTGCATGACCCAATCACAGGTCTGAAATTTATAATTTTATTATTAATTTTAATATCAATCTCACTATTTATATTGATTTATAACGTTAAATCCAATGATATTTGATGAGAAACCAAATAATCCAAATTGAAGATGAAATATATGTTGATTTATATATTTGTATGTCACTAAACAATAATCAAAATCAAAATTAAAATGATTAAAATTCAACCAAAACATTCATAAAACAAGTGAAAGATATAAAAACATAGACTTTAGTCAACACAGAAAAAAGGAGATGAAAAAAGGTTAGAAACTTGGACTTACAAGGATTGAATGTTTGAAAGGATGAAAATATACGAACATAACTAAATAAGTGAACAATTGATAATAGACGAAGAACGATGACAAATGAATTGATTGTAGTTTAGTCCAGTTGATTGTTGAGACTAAATTCACAAGTTGACAATGTTATTAACAGTTAACAAATGATAAAAACGAAGTAAATTCAAATTGTTACAATTATGTTATGTTGTTGAAAGTTAGTCTATCCAATTCACATGGCTTGTAAGGAATGACAAGACTTCAATGTTGGTTAATGCTCGTTTCTCACTCTCATAAACACTCAGTCAGTTTACTCACTCACTAACGTTCATGTTGATCATGATGCTGATAGTGATGATGATAATGATTACGTAGAAAGTAGAAAAAAAGAAAGAGATAAATTGAAAGAAAGACTTAGAGAAAGAAGAATCGAAAGAGAGAAAGAGAATAAAAAAATAGATTCTGTTATAATAGGAAACATTTCGTCACTGTGACGTTGAATTGTTCTGACGTCTTGAATGTAAAGGAGTGAGCGAGTAAAGAGACAAAAAAAAGGAAAGAAAAAATAGAAAGAGAAAGTCTGAGAAAAAGAAAGAAGAAGAAGAGAAAGAAAGATAAACAGACAGAGTTATATCGATCGATGGTGTCCAAAGCAACGAAATGACGTAATTCTCAGAGAGAGATGAAGATGATCATGAAGATCATGTAAAGAGGAAAGCCTTTCCAGAGTAAGTCTAACGGGTTCAGTTTTTTTGTTTTTTTTCTGGTTCATACTTATTTTCTGGTTTCTTGTATTATGTTTTGCTCTCTTTAGTTCCTTTCATTGCTGCATTCAATATTATTTATAGCTTTTAGTTGCTATTTTTAGCTTTTTATTTGGGTCTAAATTTACTCTGAACCAGAATTTTTATGACGTTTACCCATGTTATTATTGGTAAAACATATTATTTAAGCTTTTCATCTTATCTTCTGTTGACATTGACATTGAAAATTGTACCAAAAGAAACAAAACTAGACAAACTCAATCAACTCAACATAATAACTAAATTACCAGAAAATTAATTTATCTTTATTTAAATTTCATCAAAATACTGACCAAATACAAAACCTTAAAACCCAAATTTAAACCCGAGACAAATCAAGTTCAACTCAACCCAATTGAACTGTTATCAACTATCAACTGAAACAATTGACATTAAACAAATTATGAAAATGAAGTATCAATGTAAAGAGCTTTAGATCAATACATAAGTTAATTATTAAGTGTTGATATTAAAATGGTTTGATATTTACGGGATAAAAAGTGAGTGGGTTTGACAAAAAAAGTGGGTGAACTGAAAGGTGTGACAATGATAACATCGGAAATGTCCTTTTGATCAACAATTTTATTAATAGCGCTGTAAAAGGAGTAAATTTGATTGATAAAATAGCAAACTAAATTGTCTCAAATGATCAACATTAAAATAAATTCAGAAGCAACTTTATTATAATATAAAAACAATATGATATTACATTATTACAAATCAAGTGTTGCTGCTTTTTATCCAACAATTAACGTAACAAATGGCAGCAATAAACTGTGATATATTATTTATGATAATTAGTAATACAATTTTATTCATATTGTTACGTTAACCTGTCAATTTCATAGTAGACGGTGCAATTAATAAATTACCTGAAAAGCATCAATGGCAACAATCAGACAATTAATTTTCTGGTCTTTTTTCAGTTTCTCATTTTTCTTGGCTCAATCTTTCTAGTCATTAACATCATCATCATCATCATCATTAGGATGATCAACCATCAATAATCAAAAATCGGAAGCAATTAACACTTTACTATTAAACAATAAACGCTGTTGAAATTAATAACCAGCCAAGTACAATGAGTAAATCAATTTTCATTTTTGTTTCAATGTTTACTTTCAATGTTTTTTCTCGATTATTTTATCATTAGATTTTGTTCAATGTTCCTGGTTAATTGTAAACTAATTGTTACGTTTGTAACCAAATGAACCTAAATTGTTATGTCAGAGACAGATTTTGATCAATCTCCTAAACAAGTGTTAACAATTTTCCAGCTCCTTGGCATAATATCATTGTAAATGCAAAGTCTAATCTAATTTTGTTTGGGGAGTTAATTTTTCCCTTTTTATTGTTAATTTCATTCTGTAACGTTAATCTACAATTAGCTTATTGTCACTAGTTTAATCGCTTACCGTGGGGTGACAATTAATCTAATTCATTTATCTAATTACGTTTCCTAACATTAATAAAAATGTTGTTACTTCAATCTTTCAATGTTATCTAATACAAAAGTCTGCCTTTTTTTCAAGTTACCACTTTCAACTGTGATTATGATTTACCAGTTAATCACACTTAAGATTAATTGAGCATTTCATTGATTCAGTGAAATTACTATCAAGTGTTCAACAAGCAACAATCAATGATATTATTAAAGTTAGTTAATATTGAAATGATCAATTATTGGCTTTTTTTGTTCTTCTCTTCATTTAATAATAGAAACTCTTTGAGAGATTTCCTTGTTTCTCGTTTTTTGCTGCTTCTTCAACTTGCCATATCTTATACAATATATCATTGTATATAATGAGGGTTTTTTTCTGGTCTGTTAATTGTTTCTGTTATAACCAGATAATCATTTGGTAATCATTGATTACTAATCATTGGATAATCTTTATCAATATCTTTATAATATCAATATCCTGCTATTAATTTACAGTGTTTAGTGATTCCGAGTTTTCCTTTTTTTACTTCACAAGAAATCATTGAAAATCTTAATATTATTAAGTTGACAACAATGATATTACACTCAATCCTTACCTTTTTTACCCAGTCCAAGTACTTTGTACTTGACAGTTACAACGTTTATGTTTGTAAAAGCAATAAATGATTCTGTTTGATTACAAGATTACATTTTATTTCACAGCTTAATCGTCTTCAAGATTGTCACAGTGTAACAAACTGTCAGTGGTGATAAACCTGGTCAGACTTAAGTTATCAGATGTTTGATAGTCACCCAACAAGAAATAAAAATACCTCAAGAACTTGACTTAATATGATTGCCCAGAATCTGTTACCCGTTACTAACGGTCTGGTTACTAACCTGGCCTCTCGCAAGCCAGGTTGTTGAGTTATAAATTGAGGTTCAAAAAACGCAAATCATGGAAACGGGACGATTTCGATGAAATTAATGCAATCGACTGAAGAAGATATTAACAGTACTTTTAGGGCTGAATCTGTGATCGATGCTCTCAAATATTATGTCAAAACCAAAAGGTAGAAAAATCTTTTGTTAATAATTTGCTAAAATCAATAATTTTGCTCTCAATTTGGTTGACATTGCAAATTTTGGTGCAATGATTTACTCGTTTTCACCACATCTAGAGATATCAAATAAGAGATACCGATCGAGAGATCATTAATACTGCTTGGAATCAAAATTATCAAACAATATAATGTGATGCAAAGTGAAGCTGAAACTGATCGCGTATGATTGAGCTAAATTAGCCAAATGCTTACCTTGTATGTGGTCACAATATTTGTTTGAAAATTTGATTCGGAAATAGTTAATGGAATTTATTGATGCAAAAATTGTTATATAATATTTGTTATGATTCAACATGAAAATATCATTATGTAATTTCAAGTAACATCATGAAGTAGTTGTATGAAGAAAGCTGAAAGAGAGAGAAAAAGAAAGAGAAAAAGAAGCAGAAAAAGAAGCAGAAAAAATGAAAATAAAAGGCGCCAGAAAGGTTATATCAACACTACTGTGTCATTTACATGTGTTTCATTTGATGGTTACACTTCCAATTGAAAGTTAAACATTTAGAATCGAAAATTTTGACCCGATTTTAACCCGATTTTACCAAATTTTGGTCAAATTTTTCAAGATTTTTGATTCCATTTGTAAATTGAACCAGATAATTACGATTTACTTGAAAGCTAAATTTGGTTTTATCAGACTAGTTAAGTCATATGTTTAGGCAAAGATGTTATAAACGAGTTAAATTGATGCAGCAAAGTGTAATATTAATAGTGCATAAGGTAATTTAATGTGGATAAGTTGTTTATCAAAGTGTTTTGTTGAGTTACGTATTTTCAATTACTGATTTTAACGTTAATAAAAAATGCACCAAACAAGATATCAATGATGATGGTGATGGACGTAATACTGAGGATTTGCAGAGACACAGGAAAGAAAAGCTGAATTGCAGGGGAAAATTTCTAGACACAAATGGATCAATGAAAATACTATTTAGTGATGTCATATTATCCTTAGTTGCTCATCTTCATCTTCAACTGTAACTGTAAAAATGATGCTCTATTGTTCATGTAATGGTTATGTTGATGATGCTGAGGAAAAGTACAACAAGAGTTAAACTTGAAGAGAGAAAAGATTATTGATTTTTTTTGGTGTTCTTTTCTTGTTTCCATGTTTTTCTCAGCAAAAGAAAAGGATTTCAAATTAAAGATTGAAAATAAAAGATGAAGATGAAACTGATGAGGTAAAAGCTTGATTATGTTAATGTTGATGTTTTTGTTGATGTTTATTGTGATGTAATGACTGCTTTAGGTGTTAAGTGTGTCTAGAATGTGATTTTCAATGTCAATGTTAAAGGGATAAAAGGAAGATCTGTTAAGCTATTGATAATAATAACAAAGATTCAGGTTGAACGTCATGCAAAAATTTCTGGTTCAACTGTAAAAGACCCAAAATTGGTTTGCTAAAAATAAACACTTTTATTTTTATACAATATTAACTCTAATTTTTGATACTCAACATTCATAAGAAACCCAAAAAGATGAACCAGAAAGAATCTGAAATAATCCGTTAGACTTACTCTGGAAAGGCTTTCCTCTTTACATGATCTTCATGATCATCTTCATCTCTCTCTGTAAATTACGTCATTTCGTTGCTTTGGACACCATCGATCGATATAACTCTGTCTGTTTATCTTTCTTTCTCTTCTTCTTCTTTCTTTTTCTCAGACTTTCTCTTTCTTTTTTTTCTTCTTCCCTTTTTTTTTGTCTCTTTTACTCCTTTCACTCCTTGAAGACGTCACAGAACATCTCAACGTCACTTGTGACGAAATGTTTCCTATTATAACAGAATCTATTTTTTTATTCTCTTTCTCTCTTTGGGTTCTTCTTTCTCTAAGTCTTTCTTTCTGCTTATCTCTTACTTTTTCTCTACTTTCTGCGTCATGATTATCATCATCACTATCAGCATCATGATCAACATGAACGTTAGTGAGTGAGTAAACTGACTGAGTGTTTATGAGAGTGAGAAACGAGCATTAACCAACATTGAAGTCTTGTCATTCCTTACAAGCCATGTGAATTGGATAGACTAACTTTGAAAACATAACATAATTGTAACAATTTGAATTTACTTCACTTTTATCATTTGTTAACTGTTAATAACATTGTCAACTTGTGAATTTAGTCTCAACAATCAACTGGACTAAACTACAATCAATTCATTTGTCATCGTTCTTCATTTATTATCAATTGTTCACTTATTTAGTTATGTTCGTATATTTTCATCCTTTCAAACATTCAATCCTTGTAAGTCCAAGTTTCTAACCTTTTTTTCATCTCATTTTTTCTGTGTTGACTAAAGTCTATGTTTTTATATCTTTCACTTGTTTTATGAATGTTTTGGTTGAATTTTAATCTATTTTAATTTTTATTTTGATTATTGTTTAGTGACATACAAATATATAAATCAACATATATTTCATCTTCAACTTGGATTATTGAATCTTAAATATTGGATTATTTGGTTTCTCATCAAATATCATCGGATTTAACGTTATAATACAATATAAATAGTGAGATTGATATTAAAATTAATAATAAAATTATAAATTTCAGACCTGTGATTGGGTCATGCAGTAGAAATATGCTTTGTATTCAACAAAATCAGGTAAATATAATTTCGTTCTTGTGTCATGTCATGTCTTATGTCATATTAATAACATCGCATTTGACATAAACATCGAACTTTGATTTATATTTTTTTGAACATTCGTTTATTTGTTATTAATTTGTGTCTCCTTTTACCCTTAATTGTCGTTTAGAGCTGTTCATTCAAAGGACCAATTTCTCATTCACCAATATCTTCAACTAATATTTTTGATCCTTTACCTTCACTTAATTCAGTTCAATCAAATTCAACAACGTGTGAAGAGGATCTTTCAGATATTTCAGCTGATTTTTCATTTGATGTACCTTTAGATGGTATTTTGGATCAAATGTTTAATCAACAATCAAATTTCGATTCACTCGGGCTTGATCAAGGACAATCTGGTTACTCAAATAGTGGTTCCAATACACCAGTTCAGTTGAATTTTCAAAGATCAACTTTCACCGATAATATTAACGAGAATAACTCTTCTCATAACATTATCACCAACATCAACAACAACAACAACAACAGTAATAATAACAGCAACAATAACAATCAAAACAATAATTCAAGTATTATACTTAATAATGATAATACTATTAATAACATCTTAGGCAATAATCAAGGGTAAGTTTGCAAATGATTGTTTCAATATAAATTTAGGTTAGACAAATGAAAACAATGTTTCTTTTTGTTTTAATTGTAGACTGTAAATAATACTTTCATTAGTCTATTTGTTTATTCATTTATTTAATTTATTTATTCATACATTTTATCATCTTAATTTTATAATAGATCATTGATTGGATCAAACGAGACATCTTTAAGTTCAACACCAACTACACCTAATTCAGCAACTTTACCAAGCTTCATGGAAATTTATTCACCAAGAAATTTTCCTCAACCACCACAACAACAACAATCACAATCACATTCTGGACTTAACATTACACCAACAACTAACGATGAAACATCTTCATTCTTTAAATTTGATGACTTCAATGATGATGATAATACATCATTATCTGAAGTTTCATTTGCTTCTGTTTCAATCAAAAATTCCAACACAGGATCAGGATCATTGATTGATTTATCATATGTTAAACAAGAAGATGATTGTGATGGTGATTTAAATAACTGTGCAATGCCAATATCAATTCAAACAGCAACTAACCAACTTCAACAACAACATCATCAACAATTAAGACAACAGCAACAATCCCAGCAATCACAACAACAACAACAATTGCATAGTTTTCGACAAAATCCTCTGCATCAATATACAAGATCTGTAAATCAACAAGATGTCAACTCTCCATTTACAGCAAGTTCGAGTGTTGCTTCAAGCCCAGGATACATATCAATGTCTTCAGCTCGATCAACACCTAATCTTGAACATGGTCCTTCTCAGTTACAACAGCTGCATTTTCAACAAGTTATTCAACCCACATATCAACGACTAGCTTTAGATCAACCTCAGTTTAATTTCCATGGTCAGCAGTCACCTCAGTTATCACCAATGTCAAGATCATCTTACCGGTCAATCGGTTCTCCATTAACACCAAATATACTTTCATCAGGCTCTAATCAGCTCGCATCTGAGCATTCAATAAGGTAAGAATCATTTTAAAATGAAATGGACAAACCCAGCGACAGTAAACAATAAGACGGAAAAGTTAGTCGAAAATTTTGATTCAAAGTTGTCAACATGCTTAATTGAACTGTTCAGACTGATGTTAGATTAGATAATGTTTAGATCGGGTTTTTAAATTATCAGACTAAAAACCAACTCAACTCGTACAAAATAATAACCGGTCCAATCAAGGACTTTATTTATACATTGAGTCTCTTTTATTATCTAATTGTCCACAAATTTTTTTAATTAATCTGACAGGTTAGTTATCTACATAGGCGAAAACAGATGAATTTCAATTCAATAATCCTTAATATGTCAATAAACCCGAAACCTTGGATTACGGAAAGAAAGTCAACAAAGTCTTCTTTTCTGATTCAAAGTTTGTGAAAAATTAGCAAAATTCGTTGACTTTGAATCAAAAACATTTCTGTCCTTGATTATGCTTGTCCAACTCGAATCATTTTTAAATTTCCAAATTTCTTTTCTCAATTTCATCAGATCTCAAATGAGTCTCTCGAGGTCATCTTTATCATCATTGAGTGGTTCACCAAATATTTTCAGTGTTAATGCACCCAATAATATCCTTGGTTATACATCAAAAACTAGTTCAGGTCGGTCATCTCCGAACGAAACGGCAGCAAATGTTCCTAGTATTAAAAGCCAAAAAGCTTCAACATCAACTGAGTCAAATACAGGTTGCTCATCAGCTGCCACTTTAAACACAAGTTCAACAGGTCATCCTTTGAATCAATTGTGTGCTGTTTGTGGTGATAATGCTGCATGTCAACATTATGGAGTCCGTACTTGTGAAGGTTGTAAAGGTTTCTTTAAGAGAACAGTTCAAAAGGGTTCAAAATATGTTTGTCTTGGTAATCGTGATTGTCCAGTTGATAAAAGAAGACGAAATAGATGCCAGTTTTGTCGATTTCAAAAATGCTTAGCTGTTGGAATGGTAAAAGAAGGTAAATATAAATTATTATCTGTCATTAGAATGAGCTTAGAATGAAATATAGAGAAGAATATTTTCTTACTTATGTTAATGTTTTTAATTTTTATTTAAATAGTGGTAAGAACGGACAATCTCAAAGGTCGTCGTGGTCGATTACCATCAAAACCTAAATCACCTCAAGAATCACCTCCTTCGCCACCAATTAGTACAATTACTGCATTAGTAAGGGCTCATGTTGATACATGTCCGGATATTTCAAATCTTGATCTCAGTCATGTAAGTATAATCATGTTCACCTGATCAACATCATGCGGAATAGTTTGATGAAATTATCTTCTCTTTATAATAGTACTGCGAGATGGAGGAAACTTCAACATTGTATCCAAATGTTTTATCACGTCAACAGTTTGTCAGTATATTGATGTCATCAATGGATGTCTGTAAGAATTTTGCTGAGAAAATACCTGGGTTCAGTGATCTTGATAAAAACGATCAAGAATTGCTATTCTTTTCTTCTTGCCTTGAGATGATCACTCTTCGGATGGTTTATCAGTAAGTATACTCTTAGATATACCTCAAGTAAGGTATCAAATTTACTATTAACACTTTGTATGTTGAAACCCTAAATAGAAACAAACCTGGATCGAAGAAGATCATACTACCTAATGGAATGGTTCTTCATCGTAATCAAGTTAAATTACTGTTTGGTTCTTGGTTTACTAATCTGGAATCATTTTCACAAAGATTCGCTCAAATTGATATAGACATATCAGCATTTGCTTGTCTCGCAGGCCTCTCATTAATCACCGGTAAGCAGCAGCACCCATTTTTCACCAGTACATTCTTTACAATTTTATTATCTTTAATTTTGTACATTTCCTAGCTAACAAAGATTACTCACTAATAATTATACTAATAATGTAATGATACATTATAATTATCATAATCACAATAATCATAATGATCATAATGATCATAGTAATTCTAATATAAAAAAAAGTTAACTCATAGAGTAATAGATTTAGGCCATTCAGGAGATAGTAGTGATGTCTGTTCAACGTTAACATGATAAAACAAAAAAAAAGAAATTCAGAAGAAAAAAATATATGTTAAATCGCTGAAATTGCAATGTTTTAACGTTACAAATCAATAAATTAACTTACATGTTCAATGTAAAATGTATTTAATTCTCATCACGGATTGACCAATTAAAATAATCTTTATCGTCATCAAATAATCATCATCCGGATTTTTTTTCATCACATTGTTCAGTATCCATATTGAGTAGAAGTGTTGATATCGATGATGATTATTGTGATTATATCTAAAACAATAACCAGAACAGATCATGATAGCTAACTATTAAATTATGTAGCCATTTTTTGATTCGAATCCAATATTAATAAATTCTGTATCATCAATCATCAATAATAATCATAATTTTTCCTTTTCTTTCTTTTTTCCTTCCTTTTTTGCCTCTCTTTATCCATCCTATGTTGCTGGTCTATCAACAGTGCGGCATGGTCTTGTTGATCCAAATCGTGTTGAAGCCCTGCAAATGAAAATAATAGAGTCTCTTAGAGATCACGTTACTTACAATGCTGAAGCTCAAAAGAAATCGCATTATTTTTCATCAATATTATCAAAATTACCTGATTTAAGATCACTCGCAATGGATGGGTTAACAATGCTGCACGAGATTAAATTAGAGTCCATAGTGTCAATTCCTGACACTCTATCAAAATTACTCATAAATACGTTATACTTTTGAAATCAATAGATAACCCCAGTAGTGTTCACATATCTCCCTTTCACTCGAGGCTGTTATCATTTAAACAAGAAATCGAACCAAAATCAAGGCTTGAAAGCAAAAAAAAATCTAAAAAGTCGTAAAATGTCTCCTCTGGTCTTCACCTATCACCAGCAATATCAATGTTCATCAGTGTTTATCGTTTAAGCTCAAATGAAGCACCAGCTTTTATGGAATAAGTTCATCGTCCCGATTTCAGTCCTCAAAAACCGTCCTTAAGTTTTCTCCGATATCATCACTGCCATTACAAGTTCACCAACAGTACAACCAAACCTGGCACACCCCAAGTGTCTATCATGATTGTGTCAACCAAAGACTGAATCTATCCCAAACAGTTAACTGGATATTACACCTTGTTTCATTGTCCACGTCATCTACATCTTCACCAAGTTGAACTCACTCGAATCATTGGAAGGATTAAAGAATAGGAATTTCACCACAAAAATAACCACAAAATTAATGAGGATTACATCATAATCAATTTAATAAATCCAATAATGATGGGAAGAGTTAACCGTTAACACAAAAGGAATTTAATTTTAAAACATTTGCATTTCATTGGGTAATTATTAATGAAAACAGTTACCAAAGATAACAAAAGGGTTCCAAAAGAAAGAGCGGGTTAATTGAAAATAGTAAAATCTATCAAGTTGTATTTTTAACGCATGGCAATACAAGTCTAGACTTAAATTATAAGTAAAATGGTTGTGAAAATTAAGATCTCAGGGTACATCGGAGATTATAACAATGCTACAGAAATAATTCATTAATCAAGTCAAGTCAAATGAATTAATCAACCTCCAATAATGGTTAAATGTGTTCAAATGTTTCTCCAGCAATGCACAAAACATTTCTGGTTACATTTTTCTGTTACTTCTACACATGTCAACAAATGCTGATTTATTACGAATTATACATGAATTTTCTTCAATTGTTCCTGATCACAGCAAACTTTCTCAATGGCAACCCACAAATCACTTGAAATCATCATCATCACCACAACCATAATCACCAAAAATTAGTGAAACCTCATCAAACCATATCATATTGAATCTATTTCATCGTAAAGTTACCATCATATACAAAGAAGTCCTCATCTCAAACCAAACCAGAGAGTGATAAGAAGGAAACCAAAAAAATTAGCTTTGTTCAGATCAAGAATCAATTGTTTCAATTCCAGAAAACAAATGTACTTCAATAATTATCAACTTAGTTACATGGTGAGAAGCAAATCTGGTTGATTAAATGTTATCTAAACAAGGTAAATTCAGCATAGTGAAAATCAAGATGTACCTAAAAATCAGCTTTAATAGTATAGATACTTAGGCTGATTGAGGTACTTAAAATGATCGAGTTGATTAATTCCAAGAACAATAATTTTACACTTGGAGCCTCTCGATTGACAATTAACCGGATTTGCTCTTCTTATCAAAATACCCAAATATACGCGTATAAATATTTATTAGTGTACAAAAAAAACAATTTAAGTACATATTGCTTATTGTTGTTATCCTTTACTATAATGATTGTTACCAGTTTGTTAATTGTGCGATGTAAATTAAGACATAATTTCCTCGACACAACCTATTGCTCCAATAAACATTGAATTATTGATTTTGGTTCATCCAAATCTTTAAACACTTAACGTCACAAGAAAAAACAGAAGCACAAACAGGGCTTAATCAATGATCGTTACCAGTTTCAACCCAAAAACACCTTAAACCAAAAGCCATGTTAAAAGTGATTGTTCCTATTTTGTTTCTTGGTTTGCTTGGCGAAAATTGATTACGATTACTTTGTTAACCTGTTACAACCAATTGTTATATACATCTCGATTTATAATGCTATCAAGCAGACTGTTATTGAATGAATTAATTTAATTTGCTCCCTTTATTAGTATTTTTTATTTATTATAATATTTTGTACCAAAACAAAACAATAAACTCGATATATTTAAGTTATAATTTTTCATCCAAATAAATATTTATTTATTCAACTGTTTCACACTGTTTTCCCAATTTAATTTCACTTTGTAAATCAATTCAATCATCCTTTAATTTACTGATTAATCTATTAAAGTATATATTTTGTAATAAATTGATAAATCAAAAGAAGAGATCTCAATGTCTTGAATTGTCTTTTATTAATAAATGTTCATTACTTTGCTTTAAAAAATTTGATACAAAACCAGAATCAACAGATTCATTTGAAATTTTCATTGCTGATTTCACGAGTTAATTCAAATTCTTGATCGTGGTTTTATAACCATATTAAGCTTGGCCAGTGTTACATTATATTTAAGAAAATTAAAATATAATTTAATAGCAAAATTTAAATCTGGAATGATCAGTTTTGGTTTGAAGTTGACTTAACCCAAACAGTATTTTAGTTTGATTGGGTATCGAAAGATGTCACTGAGTTCGTTAGTTGGAGTTTTCTGGTTTGATTGTGAGTTGACGTAATTGTTTCACTGATCGATTGCTCGAGTTAATTTAAGACACTGAACAGGCAATTTTTTTGATATCGTAAACTAAATTGAGTTGCTGGAGGGACAAAATGCAGATCACTTTGATTGACAACTTCATATTTGACTATGTATGCTGATTATGTTAAATAACTAAGGGAGTAAAAATCAATAAATATTAAAGTGCATGGATGGCAATGAGTTGAATAATTAAGATTTCAATATGTATGACAGATGTTATAATAAACTATCATTAAGCATTCAAATTAAATATGATATAAATGATTATTAAATGTTAATGCATAGACGGATTTGTTGATTGAGCCATCTATTGGTTTTATAGTGTTCGGTCTGTCAGAATGGAAAATAAATTGTTGCTTAGTTTTAGAGTTGATAATTTTACAGCTCATTGAAGAAACCAGCAATCAATTGATTTATTGATTTAGTAAATCGTCCAAATCTTGAACCTGTTTAACCCGTGAAAATCAAATCAAATAGGAATCCCATTAGGTTTAGCTTTATTTTGGGTTCTTTTAGACGTTCAATAACATTTCTCTGCACAAATTGTTCACGATCATTTGGTGTCCATTCAGAATCTAAAATTTATAGAGAAAATGTATAAATAATTAGAAAATCATTGAAATTAGGTTCTTAAGCAATCTATTTAAAGAGCAATAAGACCATAAAGGTGGATATTCACTTCAATTTTGAAATAATTTTCATAAAATTGACATTTACACTCGATAAAATGTATTCATAGAAGGTTGAATGAGAAAAAAGGCTGAAAAATGTTAGAAGATGAAATAAAATTCAGATGAAAATGAAAATAATAATAATAAATAACTTGAATGAAGAAAAGTAACTCCAAAAGATAATCTATCATAAAAAAGTAAAAAATTCAGACTGAATAGAAGAAAACTTTTGCATGATGCTTTATATGCAACATTGAAAGCCTACTTTCATTCAGATTTCAATCAATCTGAAAACCAGAGTGTTGAAAAAGGTAAATCGTGTGAGTTGAAACTGACAATATACCATGAAAGGTTTAACACCACAAAGCAAAACCAATGGTAAAACCAAGAAAATTGATCCTAAAAGATGAGATTCACCAGTCAGTCAGAAAAGGGCACAAATAACCAAATTATTAATTTAGTTGTAGTCTAGGTCAAGGTCCAGTATATAAATCTAGTGTAAATTAATTTCGATCCGGACAGTAAACACCAGCAAAACAGCCTGCTATGAATAGAATCAATTTGAAAGGGTAAGTTTAGTTCCACATGAGGTGAGTTACATTCAATAAATTAAAGTTTATAAAAAGATGGTTGAAGAAGATGATGAAGGTAAAAGTTACAATTTAGATGATGATTTTTTCGAGGGATGATTGCAATTGCGCACAGAATAAATGTATATTAACAAAAGTTCCCATATTTACCTGGATGTTGTTGATGGTTGGTGAAAAAAAAGCCAAGTCAAGACAGACGAAGGAAAACAGAGAAGATAATGTTTTCTTCAGTAGATGTTATTTTTCCTCTTCACTATGAAATTACCTTTTTATTTGTTCACAATAATCATCTTTGGTCACCACTTTAACTAAAACAATTATAATAAGTAATACCGAGTTAGTCATATTCACTTGTGTAAATGGCGTTCAACTTGTTCAAGCCGTTGTTGTTAACTAACTTTTCCCTCTCATTTTCATCTCACCAAGTGTTGGTAAGAGTTCAAAGGAAAGTGTTACTCATCACATAGAATTAAAATTTAACTGCCATTTTGTTTTAATCCTTTTTGTTAACGGCTTTTCCATCGTTTTGGTTTACTGTCTTTCTTTTCTGTCTCTTGCTTATCTCATCGGTTACTTTTATTCATTATGCATGTTTAGAAGCTTTACAATTGTTATGTCTCCAATTTCAACATGTTTTTTGGTTTCAACTCTTCTCGTCATAACTTGTGATCAGTTGAGTAATGGTTATACAATTGTTAATTATGTCAACGGCAACAAATTGTTCAGCTACCAACAACACCAGCAACAATAGCAACTATTTCAATTCAAGTCAACACCAACCTCTAAATGGAAGTAAACAAAATTTATCACTCAGTTTGTCTAACCAGTCGTCATCCACTTCATCTTCTACTTCCAATAATTATGGACAGGCAATTGCAATCGGTAAATTACAAGATGCTGCTACATCACCAACCATTCCGATTATGTCTACTTTATTTTATGATTGTCAAGTTGATTCACCGCTATTCTATTCCAATGCAACCGATGGTAACAATGATATTAACAACAACAATATCACTCCACCATCAACATCAACTTCATTAGGATGCTCAAGTCCAATTCTTAACCGAACATCACCTCAATTTACCAACAATGTAAATAATTGTAGCAGCAACATTAATAACGATACAAACAACAATATCATCAACAAAAATACCAACAATCAACGATTGACAACTAGTAATGGTGCAATTAAAACCTTGGTAATCAAATCAAATTGTCGACCAAGTGATTTGGTCTGTAGCCTGAAATCACCAAACACATGCCTTGCTTGTTATAACAGTTGTTCAACTTGTAATAATAATGTAAATATCAAATCAATCAATCATGATTATAACAATAATAATGGTAGCTGTAGATTAAGTAGTAATTATAATTCTAATGCTAAAAGATTAAATGGATCAGCAAAAGGATTAAATGGCCTTAATGGGATTAATACAAGTTATTTTCCTGCAATAAACGGATTGGGTTTCGCCAATGGCTATGGTGCTACAAGTTTATCTAGCAATAACGGCAGTGCCGGTGGTGTTGCTAGAAGTAACCTTATACTCTCCGGATTACCCAATTTAACCACTCGTACAAATGATATAACCAGTTCAACCCATTCCTCTGGTAACTCCGCTCATCCTTTGACCAGTAATACCAGTAATGGTCTAATTGGTGGCACAACAGTCAATCTTTCACCAACTGGATATGATGATTATCATTTATCGTCACCCAGCAATAACCGAAATTATGATAAATTTGACAATTTCAATTCCAATATTTTCAACGACCACTGCTCAGCAATCAGTGCTCCTTTGTCACAATACTATCTAGATGAACCAAGGCATCACAGTTGTTTCCGTAAATCTATTCCAACCATGCCTATCGCTTTATCAGCATTCCTCTTGCTCCTCAACTGTTTCCTACCTGGATCTGGTAAGCTTTACCTTTAACCGTAGTTTTTCAACCCAATTTACTTCATATTGATTGTTCTCATAATTTAACCATTCTATTGTGTCTCAATTTTACTAATGTCTAAATGCGTCAATGCTATTTTTATTCAAACTTTTCATATTCCAACCTGACCATTTAATGATGAATTACATGAGATATTTTCACATCAATTTATATTTAATCTCTTGCTTAAGTTTCAATAACGCTTATGGGTAATTAATTTGTGTCTCAAACTATAAATCATCAACAATTGATCAACTAGATAATCATGAAGCAATTGTTGCTCTTTCAGTTCCAAAAATAAATTACAATTCTCACAATTTGTCAAACCAATTGATGTACATAGTTACAATTCAAATATCAACGTCAACTTTCATTGCCATCATTTAACACCATCACTCTAATCAATCATCTATTAATAATTGAACAAAATATAAAACAAAACAGTTTCCACCTAAATTAATAAAAATTATAATCGAGCAATCAACTGCTTTAAACTGTATAATTTAACCAATAGCATAACATAGCTTCAATTGTGTTTTATTGTGTTTTGATCCGCTCCGGTCAAAATCAACTATTTATAGATGGTCAAACAATCATAATCAATATCGTCTTACATTATAATACAATAATAACTTCAATACACTTGCCTTTTGTTGAATTTTATTGACCATGAAAATGATATTGTTAACAAAAATGTTGTTTCTGAATTGACAATTAATTATTGATTGTAAATTGAAAGACAAAAAAGTAATTACATTCAATGTAATAATATAAAACAATTTCCAGATTCTTTCCCAAGTGCAAGTTGAATTTTTTAATTTATCTATTTAATAGTTTAATAACTTGATGATTTATTGATTTTTGTGTAAAAATCTTGCCAAATTAAACGTTTAGTTTAATTAGTTAAATGATAATTTCTCTATCAAAATGTATTGCGATTGCTGTCAACAGGGAGTGAAAAACTCCCAACTGATATTTCATGATTTATCAACTCTTAATGGCTCTAATTCATGAATTAGAACTTCAAATTTCCTTTTTAATTGTAATTTTCTTTATAAGCTTCAATTTCGCTGTTAAATGTGTTCAGTTAATCATTTCAATCAACTTAGTTTCAATTTTGTTTTCCAAACTTAACTGCCTCATAATTGGACTGAAATATAATTGCAATTATTTTCATTCAATTTAAAGTCTAAAAATAGTTCTCATCTTAACGATATGAATCTTTAAATCAATCAAAAGACAATTATAGATGTTATAACAATTGCTATTGACATCGATTCAACTTCATTATTGATCGTCTTTTTTCCTAATTTTCAATGTCAATCCCAACAATCAAGGCTAATACAAACTATTAAATTTTGACTGATTTAGATTTTCTTGCAACAATTAGGATTTTAAATCAAAAGAGGTTCGATTTTTTGTCTTTCAACATTTCAATATATGTATATATATATATAATATATATGTATTTTTTGCACAATAATAATCACTCCCATTTACCTGGTAAATATTGATTAAAAATGAATGACTTTAACCCTAACCTTCATTTGATTGTGCAGTGTTATTAATTACTGTTACCTTGATCTTGTTACAAGTTTAAATGTTCATTCCATGACTATTACAATCAGTTAACAGAACAGTTTACATAAACTGATTCATTAAACCTGAAATACCCAATTTAGTGACATTCATCAGCATCATAAAGTTGTTTTATCTAAAATTATTCAAATTTCATCATGAAAAATAAATGAGCTTTATCGATTAGAGGTAAACAGGAAAAAGAAAGATTCTCAGAACAAAAAATCTCATAAATGCGTTTAATTATCAAACGTAAAACAAAAATTTGTACAAAGCAAAATTGATCAATTTTTTCGAGACAATTTATTCTAACAGTTGTGATAACCATAGAAACTACATGTAGTTATTGATGTGGTTATTAAAAATCAAAACGATTGCTTCATGAGTTACTTATTTTAAGTATAAAATTTTCACGTATTTATACATTTCTTTGACTACATTGTACATTTTAGGGACATTTCAATGTTATTTCGCATAATAAAATAGCCAGAGTAAAAGGTAAACTGGAGAAGCTTCGAAAATCTTCGCTCAAACATCAGTTGATCATTTGCCAGACTGAAGGTATTCAAGTTTGCCATTTTCAAATTTATGGATCCATAGCTTTGTTTTAAACTGTTTGGGCTAAAATTGTGTTTTTGCTGCTGTAATAGCACTTTTGATGGTCGATTTAGATCCTCAGATGATGTGTTTCATGTATCACTTGGATAACAGTCCATTAAAAGAATATATATCGACTTGAAAGCGTTTGTAACATTGGGTTTCTAGATTTGTATTGAAAGTTCATTCTTAGCCATTTCTTTTCATTGGAGGAAATGGATTGCTCTTAACCTAATAGACTAATTGAATCATTGCTGCTCTAATTCAATCTCTTCAACTTCTTGAATTGAACCTTGGTTAGAGCCTTGTCCAGCAATATAATGTCTAGGATTGCCAACTTATGAATATCTATTGAGAGTTTACCTTTTTAAAACATCTAAACAGTGCTACTGATTTGTTTGAGAATAAGCCAAAAAGGAGTGACTTGAACAGAAAAATTTACATTTTGAGTCATGAATAATGCCTTTGAGAGTTTGTAATGCTGATATAAAAGTTTCTCCGACGGACAGTTTTCGAGAAAATTGAGGTCGAAGTTGAAACTTCGATCGTTTTTTGTACAATAATAGAAGTAGATTTTTACATTAAACTTATTTTGCAAGTGTAATTTTCAATGGTGAGCCGCAAAATGCACCTAGTTTGAGAAATTGAACTTTTTTTTTCTGTAAAACAGATCACTTCGATTTTCACTTAAACCGACATCTTTCTATGACCGTAAGAGTTAGAATGCTTTCAATTATAATTCGGTCGCAAAAATTGCTGGTACAAACCATACATTGAATAGTTTTTTCATTTTAGTAATAGTTCTCTCGATTTTAACCTTTGGCCATTATAACTTTCAGCCTGAATATCTCGAGAATGGCATCACTTTCAATCATTTTTCCTTCATAAATCCAATTCTTCACTAATTAATAATCTAATTTAATCAAATAACTTTCCATTAGCGCCATTAGGGTCATTATTTTTAGGTTTTAATGTGCGAGCATCAACTTATTTAACAAAACAAGCTCATCTCAACCCATAACTTGGTAAATAAACCAATCTTATGGTAAATGGAAACTCAAACACAAATCTGTTAGCAAAATATTCATTGTTAAATGAATTTCCTCGGATTTTCTCCGGTATTCAGTCATATCATATCGTATCCCATGATAAAATCTATAGATTGCACTAAGAATTCTGGTTTTAGTTGATGCCATTCTCGATATATTGAGGCTAAAAGTCTTAATGGCCAATGGCTAAAATCAAGAGAACTATCGACAAATTGAAAAAACTATCCAATGTATGATTTGTACCAGCAATTCTTATGGCTTATTATTAAGTTACAACATTCTAACGCTTACGGTCAAAGCAAGAGGTCGGTTTAAGTGAAAATCAAAGTGATCTGTTCTGCAGAAAAAGAGAAGTTCGATTTCTCAAATTAGGTTCATTTTCCGGTTCACCATCAAAAACTACATCTTCAAAATTAGTTTTATGAACAAAATCTGTGACCATTACTGTTAAAAAGCCGGTCGAAGTTTCAACTTTGACCTCAATTTTCTCGAAAACTGTCCATCAGTTGCATTTTTTAATAGCACCAATAGACTTAGTTTTTATTTACCTACAAACCCTCTGAGTCTCAAATCTTGCCTCAAGTTTTCGAGCCTTTGGCTGTACTTTTGTCATTTCATTTCTAAGTTTAACCAGAAAATTGGTTTATTCACCAAGAAATAGGTTGAGATGAGTTTATTTTGTTAAATAAGCTGTTAATCGCACATTAAAACCTGAAAATCATGGCCCTAATGGCACTAATGAAAAGTTAGTTGATTGAGTTAGGTTATTATTTAATGGAGAATTGGATTTTTGATGAAATGACGATTGTAAGTGATGCCATTCTCGATATATTGAGGCTAAAAGTTTTTAGGCAAATGGGCTAAAATCAAGAGAAGTATTGATAAATTGAAAAAACTATTCACTCCATGATTTGTACCAACAATTTTTATGTCCAAATGATGAGTTTCAGCATTCTAATACTTACGGTCACAGAAAGAGGTTGGTTTGAGTATAAATCGAAGTGATCTGTTTTACAGAAAAAAGAAAATCTTGTCTCTCAAAATAGGTGCATTTTCCGGTTCACCATCAAAAATTACATCTTTAAAATTAGTTTAATGAAAAAATCTTCTTTCATTATTGTACAAAAGGCGGTCGAAGTTTCAACTTTGACCGCAATTTTCGCGAAAACTGTCCATCATATGAACTATTTAATAGCGCCAATAGACTTAGCTTTTATGTACCTACAAACCCTCTGAGTCTCAAATCTTGCCTCAAGTTTTCGAGCCTTTGGCAATACTTTTTACATTTGATTTGTAAGTTTAACCAGAAAATTGGTTTATTTACTATGAAATGGGTTGAGATGAGTTTATTTCGTTAAATAAGTTGTTAATCGCACATTAAAACCTAAAAATAATGACCCTAATGGCGCTAATGGAAAGTTATTTGATTAAATTAGATTATTAATTAGTGAAGAATTGGATTTATGAAGGAATCATGATTGAAAGTGATGCCATTCTCGAGATATTCAGGCTGAAAGTTTTAATGGCCAAAGGTTAAAATCGAGAGAACTATTACTAAAATGAAAAAACTATTCAATGTATGGTTTGTACCAGCAATTTTTACGACCGAATTATAATTGAAAGCATTCTAACTCTTACGGTCATAGAAAGAGGTCGGTTTAAGTGAAAATCGAAGTGATCTGTTTTACAGAAAAAGAAAAGTTCAATTTCTCAAACTAGGTGCATTTTGCGGCTCACCATTGAAAATTACACTTG